AAAAGGGACCGATAAAATATATAAAAATTAGTACCAATCGGTCCCTAACATTAAGCTGAATTTCATACAAAATGTCATAACACTGAACATATGACATCCAGCGGGCAAGGTTATTTTTCTGGTATCTATAAACCAGGAAATAGAATAGAAGCTCAAGCTGGATATCAGGAAATTTTCTAGAAGCCCTAGGAGAACTAGAATAACCCTGAATTAAGTGGCAAGTGTGCCGATCATTGAAAATAGGTTTGTTATGAATAAAACCTAATTGATGCACCAAGGCCCAAAAGGACTGACAGCTGTTATAAAGATCAGAAGATGCAATCCTGAATAGTAGCACTTGACAACAGAAGAAGAAAGAGTGCAGATTGCAGAGTCCTTGTAAGTGAAGAAGGCTAGTATTCACGTGTGAATTCTGTCTAGGAATACTTGTACTCCAAGCAATTGTCTGGTTGATGATTTGCATTGGATAGGTAGATTCTAGGTTGTGTCTCACTCAAAGCTGTGAAGCAAGAGTGTGTGAGTTCCTTTATCAAAGTTGTGAAGCAAGATCAAGGTGTGTATGAAGTGTCTCTTCATATTGTTTTTTGTAATTATTTGATATCATTGTTGTGTGATTGAGGGGAAGTGAGTGGGTATACTCAGGTCTAGAGTGTCTCTAGGTTGAAGTGTCATTGGGTAGGGATTAAGTGAGGAGTGTAAACTGGAGGTTTAACTCTGAATTGATTCTACTGATAGTGAATTTCCTCCCTGGCTTGGTAGCCCCCAGATGTAAGTGTTGTTGACACTGAACTGGATAAACAATTGTTGTGTTATTTACTGCTTTTATTATTACTGAGTATTAGTTGTTAAGTAGCAGATGTCACAGTGGATGTCATAACCTTGGGAATAACATCCATCGTGTGCTTGCCAGAATTTTCAATATGCATTTGAAACGTAAGCCAGATTATTACCTCTTGTTTCCAGACGCATTTCCAGCAGACGATGTATTTCTCAAGCGGTATCCAAACTACGACAAGTATTTGTGTTTCTCTTAAGCCTGCGTGGTATCCAGATCCCAGTAGATCATTGACAGAGGTGTCCATCTTGTTTTCCCAACAGAATTTAATCACTCAAGTTCAATGAAATTCTTCTTTCAGATTATGAATCGACAGATTCTTTTATCAACTTCGTGTTGGGTCGGCCTTCGGGTTCGATGCTCATTTTTATTTAGCGAATGCCTGCTGGTTGGCAGAGGCTCTCAACTTTGTGTTGAGCCGGCCTTCGGGTTCGATGCTCGCTTCTATTTAGCGAATGCCTGCTGGTTAGCAGATGTTCTCAACTTCGTGTTGAGCCGACCTTTGGGTTCGATGCTCGCTTTTATTTAGCGAATGCCTGCTGGTTAGCAGATGTCCTCAACTTCGCGTTGAGCCAGCCTTCGGGTTCGATGCCTGTTTTTATTTAACAGATGCCTGATGGTTAGCAGATGCTCTCAACTTAGTGTTAAGCCGACCCTCGGGTTTGATGCTCGCTTTTATTTAGCAAATGCCTGCTGGTTAGCAGATGCCCTCAACTTCGTGGTGAGCTGGCCATATCTCTCAAATATCGGGTATCTAATTTCTTCCTAATAGAGTAATCAAGGCCACCATCGTCCATTTCGACTAAATCATGTTCAGGTACTTGAGTAAAACACCTAGCCTTAAGTAGTCAGAACCTATTTAAGTAATCTTCTATTAGCTCAGAAAACTTTCATTTTATGCTAGCCAATTCCTTCAAACTAATCTTAGTTCATCCCATGTAGAATTGTTCATGGAATAAACGCTCCAACTGGGTCCAACTACAGATTGAGTTAGGGAGTAGGGTTGTAAATCAAGTGAAAGCATTTTTAGTGAGAGAGCTTGGAAAATATTTTATCCTAAGATTTTCATCATTTGCAATCTCTCCAACCTCGATCATATACCGGGCTACGTGTTCGACAGTAGATTCAGTAGTATCTCCTAAAATCTTGGTAAACTTTGGTACCTTCATCCTAAGAGGTAATTCTGACTAGAGAATATAATCTACTATCGGTACCCCATTTTGAGCCATTATTCTTTCGACCATGGCTGCTAAGTTATTATCGACAGCTATATTGTTACGTCGAACCTGTTGTATAACATGGTCAACATCTTGATTTTGATTCACCATAATTACCTTTGGTTTTCTCTCTACCAGAATTGACGCTTGGTCCCTAGGCGGTTCAACTCTAGGAGGTTTGAGTCTAAGGGTTTTGACTGTCCCTTGATTTTCTAGATTCGCCTTAGGTACGTTTCCTAGGTTCCGTCGTGGAATGTTTTCCACAACAACTATGCCTCTAACAGAGGCTGGTACACCCATAAATTTTACCAAGCATGCTAATTGTACTGCTAATTGTTGGTTAGTCTGGGTAGTATTCTGGATCAAGGGATGGAAAATTTCCCCCATAGTTTGGGATAAGGTTTGTACCATTGTCAGGTTACTCTAATCCATTTGTTGTCTTAAACAAGCTATATAACTATTTGTCAGATTAGGGCCCTGAGTGGAATATCCCACACCTATACTTTGACTGTTTCAACCAACATTTATCCCAGATCTTGACCCTTGTAACGGTGAGGCCATTACATTCTCTGAGAATATTGGGGGAACATTTTGGAGGCCTTGCGTTACTGATGTTGGCATTCCATATGATGGATTTCTTGGTAATGGCTGTGAAAATCCTGGAGGGGGAAATGCCTAAACGTCGAAGTTCCTCCTGGTGGAGTTTAGAGGTTGGATGCTTGTGGCCTAACGTACTCCAAAACAGGCTGAGTGTAAGCCCTCATATCTGTCGACTCTAAATCCACCACTAATGGCACTGGTTCAGGCATAACATGAGGCGGTATTTGCTCTCCTGTCGAAGGGACTGAGGGTGGAACTACATCGTTCCTAGACACGTCTCAAGGATCAGTGTTACTAGGCTGGGGATTAGAACCACTCCCTCGAAGGGTTGGGTTATTTGGATGATTAACATTTGTCGCCATTTTCCTAGTGTAGTTTCTCCTTGGTCTTTCTTCGTTTGTAACGGCTACTTTACCACTTCTTAATAACATGCAACGAAGTTTTCTCAAAGACAAAACTAACAAATACAGTTTTTTTCTTCAAAACTTTATAAACTTTAGCACTGTCCCACTGGGCGTGCCAATTTGTTTCCCGTGAAAATTGGAAAACAACCGTTGATCTTCCAAATCTAACTTTGGTGACTCACAAGATCAATCAGATTGATCATAGGACATGTACTAAATTCTAATTTAAAGAAAATACTAAAGACTGAATACTTTGACAGTGTTTATAAATAAAAGTTAATTCAAGTGCATGGTTTGACAAGAATGTGAGAGCGTTAGATTAAAAGAAAAAGTTAAAGACTTTAGTGGAAAGGCTTAAAAGAGACCAGACATAACGCTGAAGATGTAAATTGCAGGAAAGTAAAACATAAACTCTTTTAATACAAAGTGAAAGTAAACTTCATTAAAGCATCAAATGGTGTTTTACATCACGTACATTCTTCCGAGACTCTTTTCTCCACACACGGATACTTTGAGTAAATTTGGAGTGACTTGTACAATAGTGAACAGAACATCCCGAATCCTATTGCTAGAACAACTATTTATAATAATAAAATCAACTGTCGTTAACTCCATAGGATCATTAACATTTGACAAGTGTTGCGCTGCATGCATCTGCCTCTTGGATGTGCACCACTTGTCCTGTTCAGGAGTGAAAAAGAATAACTAATCCCTCCTTTATTTGAATTTCAAATTCTCGTAGTATTGGGCAACATTCTCGGTCGAAGGTAGCTTTTCCAATCTTAGAAATATTTTCTAAGTTCCGAAAAGTCTTCCTTTCTTGTGTGAGTGCCTTCGATTTAACATCACACTACATCGAGAATTCAACATTCCAACCAAAAATTCTAATTTAATGTGGGCGTCGAATTTCTGAGCTAACAACATGCCAAACAACCAACCACAATACCAAGAGTGTTCCCCATACCAGCTCCAACAAAATGACTATTATCAAGACACCCAAAATGCATATGCCCCTAATACGACATCAAGATATAGCCAAAACACCCAAACATCATACCATAGCCATAACGTCCAAACATCTTTCCATAGCCAAATCGCTCAAACATCACATCATAGCCTACACACACAAACATCACAACAACCTTATGGCTTTCAAACACCACTACCATTTCAACCTTTCACTAACGAAGCCTTCACACTAATGTCCCCCTTCAACCGTCCAGATTGCACACCAATGACCCCTTCATCACATCTCAACTACTCTAACATGGATCGCGAGCTCAGTTTCAGCACACAAGACTTCTTAAAAATGCAAGAAATTCTTAGGAATTTTGCTGGGGATGTTCTTGAGACCATAAATCCTCAAACACTTGGAGTGAATAAACAACGAGGGCAACAAGTGAAGGTGCTTAGGGGATGTGGAACCAGTGACCGGTATGACCAACCCGATCAACAATATTAACTTATGTAATATTATTTTTAATTAAATATTAATGGTGCTTATTTATGTTTAAAAGTTGCACTTTGCAAACCGTCTCTAAATGAATTAACATATCATTATAAACTTAACACTTTGTCGTCAATTAAATTAACGACATTATACGGTATCTTCAATCCAATTGATAACACTCTTCTTCTTATAAAAGAATTGCCAATTCATGTAATGCCTATACTTTATCTATCATTACCCTAAAGTAAGATATATTTTGGGTAAAAAATTCACCAAATGCCACATTCATATTCGTGTTCAGTCTTTTGATTTGGATTTAAAAAACATGAAAAATTCTTTTTCGTCCTTTTTTGAACCCATTGATACTCATGGGGTAGGTTTTTAGTCCGAATAATAACCAACGCAATTGAAATATTAAACGGCACTGAGTTTCAAAGCTGAAAATTACCGACGAAAGCTGCACCAAACTCGTCACTAGCACTCGCTCTACGAGCATGGGGACGCAGGTGAGCGATGCTGATTACACGACCAGCTTGGAAGCCAGGGTCAAGGTAGACAGACACTACTTTCTTTCTTCTCCTTTTAAATCAATTTTCTCACGCTAAGCTTTAAATTCTTTAAAATTTTGGATATGATAAGCTTCATTCAAAAAACCCTAATTCAGTGGAAACATTACACTCATTTTATATATGATAATGATAACATTATCAATGTAGGCATAAAAGATTATGCAATATGTTACATACAGCTTGCAATTAATGTATTATGTATTATTTTTAATTGCTTGTTTATATGTTATTTAATTATATAGGGTTTAGGGTTTATAACTGTAATTTAATTATTTGTTCAAATTTTGCTGTTATTGTGTTTTTTTTTAATTACAGAAATTACTGATTAATGGTTTTTCATACTGATATGTGTGATTCATACCGGCAGGAATTAGAAGCTGAGAATGCAAATCTTTTAGCTCGACTTGCTCATTGTCACTGCTCTCCGGTTAACTACTTTTCATACTTCTTTAGCTTTTTTCGCTCAATGATTGTTTTTGTCTTCTTGGCAACTGAGTATTGTAAGAGCTTTCAGCCAAGAATCACTAACCAATGTAAAGAAAAGGGAAGGGGTGAAAAAGGGTTTTGTCTGCATTTTTCACTTAATAAATTTATGTACATGTAACTCTGTAAGCAGGAAGATCAGATATCACATAGTCCCGATTATAAAGACGCGAAAGTGAACGAACCGAAAAAATCCAACGGGGAATCACAAAGGAAGATAAGAAATAAGCCAGGTTTATTTTTCTCAAATTTTTCTTTAGGGGACTAGTAGTGACACATGTGATATAGATGTTAAAAGTGAATACTATTTTTATTTTGAACACGTGATGCCATGACAACTCTCTCTTTCCCTTTATCTAAGAATTTAAAAATTAAGCTTCACTTTTTTGCTCTTCAGTAGTAAACTTCATGTTGTGTTTGTTGGATAAATTTCAGGGATTTCTTGATTTGTATGATTACCTTGTTTACTTATTTTTCAGCTACGATGGTCCTTTTCCCCCCTCATTTTTATGTGCCTACTGTTCTGTGTACATTGGCCTCCCATTCTGTACCTTCTATTGAAATTCAAAAGAGGAGGGGGAACATTATGTATTTTTAATCTCATGAGATATATATGTTTAGCAGAACCAATCAACGTATTTAAATTAAGCTTCTACAATGTGATACAGGCTATAACACAGGATTTCTGAGTCATCATAGCAAGAGATATGTAGCTTTAAAAGTAATGTACTTTGGAAAAAGGTACATACTGTCACTATTTTATCCTGCTTTGTTTTCTGCCTTGACAAATTGCCTCATAGGCTCTGAGTTATCCTGAGTTTGAGTTTAAGTTTCTCACCCCAGCTCGAGTATGTGTTTCCACATCTAGTGGTAAAAGACTTTAATCGTCATATCTTACCTTAAGAATATTGACAGAGGTGTTGATCTATGCTGAATTGTATATTTCATGTAAATTATTTTCGTTCATAAACACAAAAAAATGGAAATGGAATTGCGATATTTCGAGATTATATTATAATCTATCAATCTTAGGTTCTATTTTAAGTTTAACAAGTGTTTATATAACTTCAGAGTTTGCTTTGGATGTTACATTTGATATATCCTTAATAATCTAAAAATTCCCATGACCATTTAATTTCTCTTTTAATTGAATTAGAAGTTTTTTGTGTTTTTCTTACATTCCTATTATTTTCCTGTCGTGTCTTTATTCTTTTGGTATTTGTTGAGTTATATGAATTCAATGTGATAGTAAACGCTTTCTGACTGCTTGCGGAATACAGGTTCTATGGTTTTTCTGCAGAGGCACAAATGGAACCATCTGTTGAGGTTTGCTTTTTCCAAAGTTGAACATGCTAATAATTCTCAAAACTTGAATAAATTGGTCATGAGTAACACTAAGAATGTAATTTCGCATAATCATAAAGAATAATTGTCTGTGCTGGATGAAGCATTCTGGCTGTCGACTGTGAGGGAACTCACCATGTTTGAATTTCCGCCTTAATTGTGGTCCACCCTAGTCGCCTTAATTGCGGTTCATCCCTAGTCGTCTTAATTGCGGCAGTTGGCTTGCCTTAATTGCAACCCCAACACCTTCATTGTGTTGGGTTTGAAGGGGTGGGTTTAGCCCCACATTGATTAGAGATATGGCTTGTGGTGTGTTTATAAGTGGGGGCAATCCTCACCCTACAAGCTGGTTTTGTAGGAATGAGTTAGGCCCAACCCAAATTCTAAGACACCACAGACAGCCATGTGGATGCCTCAGTTTTATTTATCGTGTATCATTTTGTTGCAGTCTGAAATTTTTAAAGCTCTTAAGACAACAAGGCTATTGGTTGGTGATAAGAAGGAGTCACAGTATTCGAGATGTGGTAGAACAGACAAAGGAGTTTCCTCTGTTGGACAAGTAAGTTGATGGAGAAAAGGTGAAAAGAAAAGAAACAGAACACTAGTTCATATTTTAGCAGTTACTGATACATCACATGATTATAAATGCTGATATGACAAATTGATCCTTTTTTTAACATTTAAGTGTTAATATACCCCCTTTAATGATTATTGTGCTGCTGAAGTCGCTTGGCAAATGGCAAGGCCAGAGGAGGTACTTCTACAGAGTGCCTCAATTTAGCATGTTTAGTCATTACAATATGTTCCCTTTGTATTGGGGATTTACCCTTCAAAGAGATTTTGTTTGTCTCCATTTACTTTCTTCTCATCCACTCTATCACATGCAGGGTTCCATCATTTCTTGGGACTTTCATTTTTCTTGAAACATAATGAAAGGCATGTAACTTAATTGGAATCTGTTATTTTCTCTAGACATAGTTCATGGTTTAAATTCTTGATTCTTGTGGGGGTTTGTTAATATATATATCCTTTTCTTTTTTACAATTTTTACGGAAAGCTACAATTTCTTCTAGTGTCTTTCATCTGAATGGAAGTTCACAACATGATTATTACTAATGCTATATTACAAATTATAGGCCAAACATGGTTATATCAACACATAGGCATGTGATGTGGTACTTACTGTTGGTGAAGTTTTTCACTAGGGAGCATTGAACATTGTGGAACTTTTTTTTTAGAGCAACACCTTTGGGAGAGACACACCATATATTCACTCAAAATCTTAAGGTTATAGGTGTATGGATTCTCCCACTTATGAATGCTCAAGTCTTCATATTTCTATCTAATGTGGGACTATTACTCATACTACTCACATTTGTTATACTTAACACTCACCCTCAAGTGTGAGTCTATCTACAATGCTTCCACAATGCTTTTCCTTAAGCGGAAGCTCTTTTCTACTTCCACATACACTTGTACCGCCGTTGATACTCTTCAACAAGGCACTCTACCCACGACATGTAGGGATGCTTTCGATACAAGTGAGCCGGTACCTTCCTCGAACCAAAGGCTCATGATACCACTGTTGGGGGAGTTTTTCACTAGGGAGTATTGAACATTGTGGGACTTTCCTTTCTAGAGCAAGACCTTTGTGAGAGACACACCACATATTCACCAAAAACCTTAAGGTTATAGGTGTATGGGTTCTCCCACTTATAAATGATCAAGTCTTCACATTTCTAACCAATGTAGGACTATTAATTATACTACTCACACTTGTTATACTTAACACTTACTGTAAGTTAGAAATAGAAATAAACTTATGCCTACACTGTAAGTATGGATGATCCACTTGTATGTTTCATACGTTTGGTTCCCATCAGAGATTGGAGACTTTCATTTTGGTGAAGCTCAAGCTTTGGTTAGAAAAAAGAGTAAAGGGTGTTTTAGCAGTGTTCTTTATATGCTATTCTTTTGTGCCTTTTCTGGAACAAGATGCACAGATCTTTGAAGATCTCATGCTTTTTGTAAGAATTCCCTCAGGCAGATATATAGACAATATTGAGGAAAAATATTAACTGGATAGCTAATTTGTTTTGATGTGTTTTTCTGTGTCTTATATCTTTTCATTGTAGTTTTGGTTTGGAGGATATGTATACTCCAGGTTGCATCCTTGTACTCTTTTCCTCTAATAGACTTTCCTTTCATCTAAAAAAGCAACAAAGCCCAAAAGACAATAATAGTTTTGCATGCAATCATTAACAATTTATACTGTTTGGAATCTATTTGTAGGAATTTCTTTTGGAAAGTTACTTATTTGTATGAAGAGTGGTTAGATTTTTTATCAGCATCATATGATTTGTTATTTAACTGGTTCTGGTGATGAAAACATTTCGAAGCAGGTGATAGCTCTTTTTCTTAGATCAAAGCTCAAAATATCTGGAGTAAATAATGGAAGTTCTGGAGAATATGTTTTTGAAGAGAAACATGGTTAGCAAAAAAATTAACTTACCCGTTTATTTCTTGCTTCTTTTTTTTTTTCTCTCGCTGTGTGCATTGACTTAATATTGTTTGCCAATATCATGGTTTTTTATTAGTCATTTGTTTGTGTGTATTTATTTATTAAGAGGCTTTGAGAGAAAATTAAGAGATTTGTGAAATGCTCGTGTGATTCACAGATTTTGCACTCAGCTGATCCATCATATATATATATATATATATATATATATGTGTGTGTGTGTGTGTGTGTGTGTGTGTATGTGTGTGTGCGCGCGCGCGCATGAATGATATATCCTAGATACATGATTAGCTAGATTACTACAACTTTGAATATTAATAATTGCTACTAATTTCAACATTCTATTACTAATAATTGCTAGATGATCATTTGAGATAACAAATACAATGATGACTTATGTATAGAGAACTTTCTCATGGACAAAAATGACAATCAATTTTAATATGTTTAGTTCTCCCATGGAATACTAAATTGGAGGCTATATATAAAACTACATGATTATCAGTAACGCTCTCTATAATATTAATATAGAAAATACATTATACGCAATATTAATTGGTACTGACACAACACAAGAGCCTAACGACATCATTATATATATATATATATATATATATATATATATATATATATATATATATATATATATATATATATATATATATATATATATATATATATATATATATATATATATATATATATATATATATATATATATATATATATATATATATATATATATATATATATATATATGAGAGTGTCTAATCAAAAACTAAAAACTAAGATCTATGGACAATATCCACATATGCATATAATCTATGAAGATCACGATAGCGAAAATCTTCGAAACATCATCAGACAAGCTTATCCTTGCCTTTAACTTGCAAAGAACCACCTGAAAAACAACAAAAATAATGGGGTGAGATAATAATTTCGGTGAGTTTCCCTATCTTATGGGTCCACTCGGCTAGAGATTTCTTATCGATTCCTAACTTAAGCCTTTCATCTTTACGTTACTTGTGCACCACTCACACCGTGGAACAAGAACTTAAGCGTTCAAGGGAGTTTACACTTTGTATGGAAAACACACAACATGAGTTCTCATAACTCAATGAATCGATATTCGGGAATGCACAACAAAGTATCTTTCCCCGGCCGATCCTACGTCTATGACTATAGACACGGGTCACAGATCTCTGTTACCTTAGACAATTTCTCCCTGGCCGATCTAAATCCCCGGACTATGGACACGGGTCACGATTGTCTGCTCAACAAGGAATGTCTTCTCTTCGGCGATCCAAATCCATGGACTATGGACATGCTATACGATGTGTGATCTTTGAGATTGTCCAAGAGGAGGATTATCGGGAATATTTGTAGTCAACTGATTATGGGATAAGGGAAGGTGATGGATCACGATAAGGTATTAGAAAAACTTCTTGAATAGTATAAGACTCAACTTTGGACGGAGAGAAGTAAAAAATTTCTTCAAAGAATGTTTCATCTACAGAAATGTAGTAATGATTCTGCACAGGGCAGTAATAGCATTAATGATACCTATAATTTATATACAATTATGGACAATCTAACATATATTTAGAAGTAATATAAATTGTAGTAATAACAAAATCACAAGTAGGAATGATGTAATTGGGGAATTCCTTATTGACACCCCCTCACGTTGATGTGGCGGTCAAGAAGCATCAATTTACTGGTGAGAGACTGATGTCGAGGCTGAGGTACAACCATAGTGAAGATATTTGCAAGTTGAAGTTGTGATGTGACACGGGGAAGAGATATAACATGATTGACCAATGCTTCCCTAATTGAATGACAATCCATCTCAATATGTTTAGTGCATTCATGAAAAACTTGATTATTAGCAATTGCATTCATGAAAAACTTGATTAGTAGCAATTTGAATAGCATTGGTTTTGAAAAAGAATGGTGTCGTTGTATGTTGAAGAAAATCGTGTTCGGCCAAAAGTCCACGAAGCCATGTAATTTCAAAACAAGTCGTAGCCATAGCTTGATATTGAGATTTAATTGAAGACTTCGAGACACGAGACTGCATTTTACTCTTCCAAGAAATCAACGCAGGACCAAGAAACATGCACAACAAGTAACTGCTCTTTGTGTCAGAACAACCAGTAGGAAAACATGGACCGGGTAAATGTGCCTTTCAAGTAGTGAATGATGCAATTTATAGCAACCAAGTGAATATGGCGAGGAGTGTGCATAAACTAACTCACTTGCTGGATTGCAAAGGACTATTGGCTGTATAATAGAGGAATTATTGGGAAAAACGTCAAGTTCCACATTGGTTAAAGCTAGAGCCCACAAAGGGTTTATATAGAGTGACACCCTTCACTTTATAAGCCGGTTTTGTAGAGTTGAGTTAGGTCCAACCACATTTCTTAACATTGCATCACGCTTAAGGTATGTTTAAAAGTTTGTGTTTTGACTTTTGAGGCTGTAAAAGTGGTTTCTTAGTGACACATCATTTTTGGGTTGACAAATTTTACCTTCATTTATAAATTATAAGGTAAGTTGTAATATTCAGTTGTGGAATGCTACTATAACAATATCGACTACCCTATGTAGATATAAAAAGGATTACTTGCTAGGTAAATTTATTTCCATAAGTTTGGGGGCTAAGCAGGTAATAGGGGCGTTGATTGCTCTGACATGGTCATTGAGTTGTATATTGCTGATGAGAAATGAGGGTGGCTTCAAATGGTTTTTGCTAATATTAATGCAAATACAATTTCTAATAGTGTTTGGTCCGCAGTTTTTATAATCATAAAAGCCAAGCTTGTGACTTTTACTATGTCCTTAATATCATTTACATTTATTTGGGTGGAACATAATGCATATTTTATTTCTTCCTTTTCTTAACTCCTGCCATCTTTTGCATAGAAGGGGAGCTTGATTATGTGAGGGTAATAAATCGAGAACTTCCAAATGACATTCGAGTCCTGGGCTGGTGTCCTGTTCCTGTTGATTTCCATGCAAGGTCTGTATCCATTCTTTAAAACTTTACTTTATAATATGTTGATTAAATTATATAAAGATTGATGGTAATGGGCAACACTAGACAAACAAGGGAACTACTTAATACTTTCCTAGTAGGGAACTACTTAGTACTTTCCCAGTCTCTTACACAGTGGGAGGGAAGCACGGGAAACACTGGATCTTGACAAGGATATGTAAAAAATTATTTTGGCTTCAATGGGTCCCTGCTACATGATCTAAGCTTTTCCTCTCATAAATTTGAAACAACCTAACCAGAATATATATGCTCAAATATATTAATGCCTATATATATGCTGACTGATATGGTTTTTCAAGAGGGATCATAATATTACATGTATTCTTACGATTAGAGTAGCCAACTTTTGCTTGTGGTATCACAATTGGTGTTGGATGTACCTTCAGGCTTCAAGTATAAACGGAAGGTCCTTTTAGTTATTGATAACTATCATATTAGAAAAAGTTTATGCGTGTAGATGGAGAGAGAGAGAAGGAGGGGGAGCCATTTGACACCAAGTGTCAATAATGGAATAATCATACTTCCAATATTATTTCGTGGAGTGTGGTGAAACTAACTAATTCAACTATTCAATCATATTATATTATCTTAGAATTTGGGTTGGGCCTAACTCAATCTTACAAAACAGACTTGTAAGATAAGGATTTCTCTCACTTATAAACATATGTTCTCATGCCAAACAAATATTATTCGATTTGAGGCTCTTAACAGTCCCTCTCACGCCCAACACCATTGGGCATAGTGCATAGATATAAATGGTGAGTGACTCGATAGCAGAAATCTGATAGGAGGTGGTCCAACTGATTTTGATGTAGGCTCTGATACCATCTTATAATATGGGTTGAGCATAACTCAACCATACAAAATCAACTTGTAAGGTGAGGATTGTCCCTATATGTAAACATATCTAGAGGGCATATATTATCCTATCCTGTGCGATACTATTAACATATTACTTAATGATCACTTATACAAAATAAATTCAGACATTCATAGAAATGTAATTTAATGGTTAATATTTACTGGCACTAACATAAAGTGAGGAGATGACTATGATACTACTAAGAAAGGAATGATTAGATATGTTGATATTTGTAAGTATAGTGTTAAGAATATTTGTATATAGAATAGTCCCACATCGACTATATCATGTAATTAGTTGTAATTTCTCTCTATATAATAATGTCTCCGTAGTGCTTTTCAAAACACGATTTATTCACATGTCTCTTAGTCTCTTGTATTTTATCATGGTATCTAGAGTCTGCTAAGAGGCAATTCTTTCTTCGTCGTGCTTTACTCGGTTGACCCACTGTCTTCCGGTGAGGATTTTTTTTTTCAAACCGTGCTGTCACTCCGGTTTTCCTCTCACTTTTCAAAATTCTTCGGTAACCACCCTAGCACCATTGCCGTCGGTACTGTTTCGACAAAACTTCCAGCGACGTTCCGGAAAGCCGACCCCACCATCAGTTTTCAAATATTCTCCGGTCATAACTGCATAGCCGCCGTCCGCCGCCGTCGCTATTATTCCCGGCGACCTTCCAGCAAACTTTTTCACCGGTTGAAACTTCCGCACACACCACCTCTCTTCAGATACTCATGGCTACTCCTCATAACTTTACGCCAAACTACGATGATTTCCTCAGGTGGTATCAAAATTATCATAACTCAGATTGCTACGGTAGCACACACTGATAATTCATCTGTTTGCCTCTCTCAATCATCTCCTCTTCGACCTTGGGTCCTTGATTCTGGTGCGTCTGATCATGTTACTGGTAATAAAAATCTTTTCTCTTCCCTCTCTACCTCTGGTTTCTTACCTACTATAACTTCTGCCAATGGTTCTCAAACTCGATCCGAAGGGATTGGTACTGTTCAAATTCTACCTTCTCTCTCTGTTAGTTCTGTCCTCTATGTACCTAATTGTCCATTTAATTTACTTCCAGTCAATCGTTTAACTCGTTCTCTTGATTGTAGTGTCACTTACACTAACAATAACGTTACCCTGCAGGATTGGAGTTCGGGACGGACGATTGGCGTCGGATATGAGTCTCAAGGCCTTTATTACCTCTCATTGTCATCTCAGACATGCTCAACCCAAGATTCTCTTCTCACTATCCATGCTCAGTTAGGTCATCCTAGTCTTTCCGAATTACATAAGTTGGTGTCAAATTTATCAAAGCTATCTAATTTACATTGTGAGTGGTGTCAGTTACGGAAACACACTCGTAGTCAATTTTCCAATCGAGTCAACAAACGAGCTTTGTCCCCTTTGGCTTTAGTTCACATCGATGTTTGGGGTCCCTCGCGTACTGTCTCTACTCTTGAGTCTAGATATTTTGTCACCTTTATTGATGATTTTTCACGTTGCACGTGGTTATTTTTAATGAAGAATAGATTTGGATTGTTTTCTATTTTTGAACAATTTTATTGAGAAATAAGAACTCAATTCGATGTGTCTATCGTACCTTAAGAAGTGACAATGCCCGTGAATATTTATCCCAACAATTTCAAAATTTTATGTCACACAATGGTATTCTCCATCAAACATCTTGCACTCACACACCTCAACAAAACGGTGTAGCCGAACGCAAAAATCGGCATTTCGTAGAAACCACTCGGACCCTACTTCTCCATGGTAGTGTTCCACTTCGGTTTTGGGGGGATGCTGTGCTAACGGCATGTTACCTTATAAATCGCATGCCTTCATCTGTCTTTAACAATAAAATCTCTCATTCAATCCTTTTTCCCAATTCTCCACTTCTAGCAATTCCTCCCCGAGTCTTCGGGTCCACATGTTTTGTACACAATCTCTCCCCTGGTCTTGATAAACTATCAGCTCGATCACTAAAGTGTCGTCAACCAATGTCTGTCGTACTTGTTCTGGAGGTCGTACCTGTCCCTGAGGTCATTGTAGATTCTCCTCCGACGCTCTCGCCATCACCGGATCCGATCCTGCCACCTGAGTCCGATCTTCCGATTGCCCTTCGAAAAGGTATACGTCAAACACAAAATCCTTCTCCACATTATATTGATTTATGTTATCATCGTCTTTCTCCTTTGCAGTATACTTGTTTGTCTTCTTTGTCTTCTATTTCTATTCCTCAAAATCCAGGTGAAGCATTATCTCACCCTGAATGAAGACAAGCAATGATTGATGAAATGTGTGCTCTTCAAAGCAGTGGTACCTGGGAACTGGTTCCTCTACCCCCTGAAAAATCTTTAGTGGGATGTGGTTGACTTTATACAATGAAGGTTGGTCCCGATGGTAAGATTGATCGATTTAAAGCTCGCTTGATAGCCAAAGGATACACTCAGATTTTTAGATTGGATTATAGTGATACTTTCTCGCCGGTAGCCAAGATGGCATCTGTTAGACTTCTTCTACCATTGTAGCCATTCGACATTGGTCTCTTCACTAACTTGACATTAAAAATGCTTTTTTACATGAGAATCTTGAAGAGGAAGTATATATGGAGCAACCATCTGAGTTTGTTGCTCAGGGGGAGTCATCGAATATGGTGTGTAGGCTACACAGGTCTCTTTATGGTCTTAAGCAATCTCCGAGAGCTTGGTTTGGCAGATTCAGCTCTGTAGTACAACAGTTTGGTATGGTCCATAGTGAAGCTGACCATTCTGTTTTTATCGTCACTCACCCCAAGGGTGTATTTATCTTATTGTATATGTAGATGACATTGTCATAACTGATAGTGATCAGCAGGGAACACTCCAGTTGAATCAACATCTCTCGAAACAATTTCAGACAAAAGATCTTGGTAAACTCCGCTATTTCTTGGGTATTGAAGTAGCTCAATTTAAAAGTGGTTTGGTGATTTCTCAGTGGAAATATGCTATGGATATTTTGGAAGAAATAAATTTGTTAAATGTTAAACCAGCCGATACTCCTATGGATCCAAGTGTTAAACTACTACCCAATCAAGGGGAGCCTTTATCTGACTCAGGAAGGTATAGGAGATTGGTTGAAAAGTTGAATTATCTCACAGTCACTCGTCCGGACATATCTTTTGCAGTCAGTGTGGTAAGCCAGTTCTTAAATTCCCCTTGTCAGGAACACATGAATGTTGTTATCCGGATTCTGAGATACATCAAATGTGCTTCAGGAAAATGTCTTGTGTATGAGGATAAAGGACATACCCAGATAATTGGATACTCAGATGCTGATTGGGCAGGGTCACCCATTGATAGACGATCCACCTCTGGGTATTGTGTACTTGTTGGAGGAAACCTTATATCCTGGAAATGTAAGAAACAAAATGTAGTTGCAAGATCAAACGCCGAGACAGAGTATAGGGTCATGGCAATGGCAACATGTGAACTTATTTGGTTAAAACAGCTGCTCAAGGAACTTCAAATTGAAGAAGAAAGACCAATGACACTTATTTGTGATAATCAAGCTGCATTGCACATTGCATCAAATCCAGTCTTCCATGAGAGGACCAAACATATTGAGATAGACTGTCACTTTGTCAGAGAGAAGATCGAGTCTGGTGACATTGTTACAAACTTTGTCAATTCTAATGATCAATTGGCAGACGTGTTTACAAAATCCCTGCGAAGTCTCAGAACTAATTATATATGTAACAAGCTTGGTGCATTTGACTTATATGCTCAAACATGAGGGAGAGTGTTGATATTTGTAAATATAGTGTTAAGAATATTTGTATATAGAATAGTACAACATCGACTATATCATGTAATTAGTTGTAATCTCTCTCTATATATAATAATGTCTCCGTAGTGCTTTTCAAAACACACGGTTTATTCAAATGTCTCTTAGTCTCTTGTATTTTAACAAGATACAATAATATCTTAATGGATCCTACTAATAAAAATAATAGGTACTGTTGAAGATTAGCACATATCAAATCATAATCATTTGATTTTGATTTTGATTTGTCAAGCTGTTACAAGACAGTGGTGTAAATAGATTTATTATCTATTATTGTTATTTTCTTATTTAGATAGATGTTATTTCTTTATTTAGGTAGCAGCAATTATAGTAAATTATTTCTCTGTTTATTAACAAATTAGTGTACAGCTTATGTATTATATTTATACCTCACACTGTAAGAGTTCCAATCACAATTAAATATACAACATATTTCTTCTATATGGTATCATGAGTCTTTGGTTCGAGTAAAGGGAACGACTTACTTGTATCGAAAGTATTCCCACAGGTCGTGACTTGAGCATTTATAAGTGAGAGAACTCATACACCTATCACCTTAAGGTTTTGGGTGAGTATGTGGTGTGTCTCTCATTGTGATTGGAACTCTTACATTGTGAGGTATAAATAGAATACATAAGCTGTACACTAATTTGTTAATAAACAGAGAAATAATTTTCTATAATTGCTCTTACCTAAATAAGGAAATAACATCTACCTAAATAAGAAAATAACAATAATAGATAATAAATCTATTTACACCACTGTCTTGTAACAGCTTGACAAATCAGAATCAAATGATTATGATTTGATATGTGCTAATCTTCAACACTCCCCCTCAATCTGGGTGGCTTCTTCCCTGCAGGTGCAAAAGTCTCTTTATAGTCTACTCCATATGATTGAGTAAATCCCTTTGCTACAAGTCGAGTTTTGTACCGATTTACACTCCCATCTGCATTATACTTCATGGAGAATATCCATTTGCATCCTACCGGCTTCTTCCCTGCAGGTAGGCTTGTGATCTCCCAAGTGCCATTCTTAATTAAGGCCTGAACCTCTTCAGTTACGGCTGCTGCCCATTTAGAATTTTGGAGTGCCTCATGGATGTTGCTTGGAATATATGTATTGTCAAGAGCTGTTACAAAAGTCTTGTAACTCTGGGACAGTGTTCCATAAGATACAAATCTTTCAATGGGATGTTTAGTACATGATCTTACATTTTTTCTCAAAGCAATAGGAATATCAATATCATCAACATTCACAGAGTTAGGAACAGTATTACCTGAAGGAACGCCATTTTCTAGAGTCTTGGAGGTTTCTTGGTTTTGCCTTGGAGCTGTGCAGGACTCTATTACCTTCTTGCTCTTCCTGGAGTACACTTTCATGTTGTTTCCTGGTGCAGTTTCTGTTGTAGGGGTTGTTGTTTCTACTGCAATTTCCTCTGCATTTTCTGACGTAGTTTCTTCTAGTCCACGTGTAGGTTCTGCAGTTTCTGTTGCATTTTCATTTGGTTCAGATGTAGGTTTTGATGCCTCAGCAGTGAGTTTGGGTTCAGTTAGCTCAAGTTCGAAAAGTTGGGATTCTACCACTTTAATTGGATAGGTGTTCTCCCCCTGAATGCCAACTTTGGGGTAATATGGTTGATTCTCAAAAAAGGTTACATCCATGGTGTAGGTTCTGCAGTTTCTGTTGCATTTTCATTTGGTTCAGATGTAGGTTTTGATGCCTCAGCAGTGAGTTTGGGTTCAGTTAGCTCAAGTTCGAAAAGTTGGGATTCTACCACTTTAATTGGATAGGTGTTCTCCCCCTGGATGCCAACTTTGGGGTAATATGGTTGATTCTCAAAAAAGGTTACATCCATGGTGTGGTAGAATTTTTTGTTTTGAGGTGAATAACATTTGTATCCCTTTTGGTGAGGAGAGTAGCCGAGGAATATACATTTAATGGATTTCGGGTCAAGTTTACTGCGTTGGGGATCAAGATTATGGACAAAGGTTGTGCATCCAAATATTTTCAACGGAATAGATGTAAGGATACGATTGGTTGGGTATAAGGTTTGGAGAGTGGAGTAAGGCGTATGAAAGTTAAGGGTCCGGGAAGGCATTCTGTTTATTAGATAGGTTGCAGAGAGGACAGCTTCTCCCCAAAACCGGTTAGGTACATTTGTAGATAGCATGAGAGATCGGGTTACTTCTAGGAGGTGTCTATTCTTTCTCTCGGCAACCCCGTTCTGCTGAGGTGTATCCACACATGAGGTTTGGTGTATTATTCCATGTTGCATAAAGCATGAGCTTAGTGCAAAATTATAGTACTCACGACCATTATCACTCCTAAGCACTCTAATTTTGCTTTGAAATTGTGTTCGCACCATGGTATGGAAACATTCAAATATCCTACCAACTTCCGATTTGTCTTTCATAAGGTAGAGCCAAGTGATCCGTGTGTGGTCATCAATAAAGGTGACAAACCATCTTGATCCAGTTACATTTCTGACCCGTGATGGTCCCCATACATCGCTATGAATAAGATAAAAAGGTTGGGAAGGTTTATAGGGTTTAAGTGGGTGGGGGCTGCGTGTATGTTTGGACAATTGACAAATTTCACATTGAAACAACTTCTGATTTTTATTGAATAATTTAGGAAGCAGCAATTATAGGAAATTATTTCTCTGTTTATTAACAAATTAGTGTACAGTTTATGTATTCTATTTATACCTCACAATGTAAGAGTTCCAATCACAATGAAATATACAACATATTTCTTCTATAGGTACTAATAATAAAAACAATATCTCTTGTTATAAATTAAATTAATTTTTAATTAATGAAATGAAGTTTGATATCTTAAATTATTCTATTTTGTTTACATGTTTCTCATTTGCTTTACCAACACAGGTTCAGCTGTTTAAGCCGGGAGTATAAATATTTCTTTTGGAACGAAAACTTGAATATCCTGGTAGGAAAATCATTTTTCGTTACAGTTTCCATAAATTCTTGAACATTTTTGTCTTTCTTCTCTTCTCTATTTCAAATGTTGTCGAAGATTTGAGATGCCTGTGGATTGTAATACTTCTCATTGGCTGATGTCCCACTAGGCTATGAAGACTGCTGGAACAAAACTTTTAGGAGAACATGACTTTAGAAACTTCTGTAAAATGGATGCAGCAAACGTGCACACCTACATGCGGTGCATCTCAATGTTTGAGATTTCTCCAACAGATGTGAGGTTAAGATTGGTAGACAAATTTTCTTAACCATATATGCGTGTTTTGCTGAGTGCGTAGTTGGTGGCAGAATCATGTTGGAAGCGAACACTTGAAATTAGACTGCAGTAGCTTATAACAATGTTCTAGACACCTTGTACTATCTGAGGTTAAGATTGATTGAGTTCTGTATATGCCCTAGGCGCGTGATACTTGATATTTATTAGTTTTACAATGCTCGAGTCTGATTTCTGATTTCTGATTCTACTTCATCCTCATGGGACTCAAAGGAACCAAATGCTGTTGGCCCGAGCCCAGGTCCAGTTGTTTATAGCTAATAAATGGTGATCTTTCTTTGGTGCATGAAATATTTGGATGTTCTTTTCCGTTGTTTCTGCACAACAAGGAAAAACTAAACAAAAACAAAAATTCGTGTAGAAGAGAGACAAATCTAACGAGTCAATGACAATATAAAGGTGGAAAGCATACACAAGATTTCTTTTGACAAAACAGCTAAAAAATAAGGTTATTAAGTTTGAGTGAGACATAATTCTCAATAGGTTAGGATGAATATACTCATTATCTGTACTTCATATGTTTCTGGTAATAGCTGCTTGCTTAACATTTCAGTCTTCAATCTAAGATGCCTAGAAAAAAGAAACTCTTACTACTTGTTTCATTTCAGAATTTATAGTTGTTTGTTAAAGAATTTACATGGCTGAATCTGCCTGATGAAAAAATTCAATTTGCTGTTTGGTAGCTTTTAAGCTTAAAATCTGAACATGTTTTCCATTTTCCTGCAGTTATGATGGTAATCAACTCTGGGTAATTAAATTCAGGGGTAGGGCTTTTCTATGGCATCAGGTTCGCTGCATGGTTGCTGTTCTCTTCTTAGTTGGCCAAGGTCTTGAATCTCCAGATGTGCGTATCTAACACCCTCATATAATCATTTTAAAATTTTATTTATCTACTGTGTTGCCTTGTAAATTCATTCTTTCACGGTAAGAGTGTGCCACACAGATACAGTTTTCTGAACTCTGAAGATGGGATGCAATGTACAGAATGTTTGGCAAGTTATTTCTCAAAGCCAGTTTTACTAAAGAAAGAAACTGATGTTAAGATTATTTAAGTTAAATAATAGGTGTTTTGGTCCCGTTAAGCCAACTCAGTTGTTAGATGTGCAGGGACATCCAACTACAGGAGCGTGAGTTTCGAACTTGCGACATCTCACTTATTCACCTTTAAGAGGTGAAATTCCAGCTGCTAGGTCTAAAAATAAAAAATAAAAAATAATAATAGGTGTTTTGCTGGGATAGACTTTTTTAAATGTTGAAAGATTGTATTTCCTTCCTGCCTGAGTATGTTACATAGTCTCTTATTTATTTATCTTTTATTTTCTATTTCATATTAGCACCATGCTGTAAGATTAAATCCTAGATCAATTCATCTATATATATTGAATTGTTATTCTGTGGGTTGAGTTAGTCCTTTAATGCGTTTTATACTCAAATTTCTAGGTGATTGACATACTACTGGACACTAACAGGATCCTCAGGAAACCTCAGTACGTTATGGCTTCAGAAGCTCCTTTGGTTCTTCAATCCTGTGAATTTGAAAATCTCAAGTTTATGTGTTCACCAGGTATATCTGATTTGTACAATTTAAAATATGGTGTCTAATTTTCTTTCTATGCATATTGTGTATTTACGTGGAGAAGTTTGATAACTTGAATTTATTTATGTGATTGCATGTCTAGATTCGGGAAAGGCGCTGCGTGCACACCTGGTTAATGAATGCCAAATTTACCAGCTTGAAACTGCAATCTTTCGTGAAGCTATTCTTAATTGCGTGCCTCAACTGCACGGTGCTGCAAACATGTTTAACTCAATTAATTTCCAATCACATTGCTTAATTTAGTTTATAGTGATCTATTGTACTGATAACAGTTCCTTGCTCAGATCAAATCTTGCCACCAAGTAAAGGATCCAAGAAGAAAGGCTCCCATATTCCTCTTTTGTCCCGACCAACTGAGCGTGAGTTCTGACACCTGAAACATTTTAAACCCTGGTTACAAGTACTCTAATGTTTGTTATACATGGAACTACGGAAGCGAATGACATGCTTCCTGGTCATAGTATCCCCCATTATTTTACTGATCGGCTTCTTATGTTAAATTGAATCCAGCATCTTACGAAGAACGGCGCGCCAAACTCAGCTCATGCACATGATGATTTCAATGGTCATCTCCATTATTTAGACCTTCTATGGAGGTTGTATTATTAAAGGGTAGCTTTTTATTTTAATATTTTCTAGAGTTCAAATTTGATGGAATCACTATTTTAAAACAGACAAAAGCAATTGCTCAATACAGTACTTTGTTTGTCGATGCCTCCATCATAGGGTGTCCCTTTAAACAAACTCCTCCTAACGTAGCAATCAGCATGTGGAAAAAAGTAGAATCACATTAACAACTGAAACCTTTTCCTCTGTGATTGTGGGTTAATAATGGTTGGTTCTATGCTTGTTATCATGTCTGTGGATAGGCATGTCTACCTAACTATTCTTCATGCCAAAAATATAATCAATTAGTATGAAGAATGATTGGTTGGTGGTACCCACCTCCACCCAAAAGTTTAAGTTTGGTATTCTGAGTAACGATAATTATATAATTTATCTATTTTTTTTGGTGAATGATAATAATATAATTCGGCTAACACTAATGAAATACAAAAGTTTGATGATACGACTGTTTGAGGAAAGTTAACAACACTAAATAAGTGGTCACATAAGATGATAATTTTATTCCAAATGGAGAAGTTGAAGAACAACTTTTGTGGTGAAAAAGTGATTGTTGAAGAGAGAGACGAACACAATGATATTAAGAACACTCAGTCAAGAACATGTTTTATTCAGCACACTGTTGCATCTAAAAAAATCATTATGTTTAAGAACCATGATAAATATATGCATTGGAGATGCTTCAGTTTCTTATTTTACACTTTATTAGTTTTTAATAAGTAGAATCTATCTTTTGAAAACCACTCGAGTCATCATTTAATTATGTAACTTTGAATTTGGTATATAAAGATCAGTTTAGTTTTCGATGATTTAGGAATCCATGATCTACAGAGTAAAGATTAGATTATTTAAACTATAATTGAGCCACATCATATTTTTAGCAATTTAACATCACATTTTTGTCAAACAAAAATTTCCCACTTGTCAAGCGAAAAGGTAATGGAAAAAATTGTGCAGTATTTAATCATAAAAAGGTCATGTTACAAATATGATGGTGTATAAGCATGGAAAAGATGCCTTCAACAAAGTATGAGATTGAAAAGTTCACCGGAGTGAACGATATCGGCCTGTGGCGCTTGAAGATGAAATCTCTACTAGTTTAGCAGAATTATTTGGAAGCGTTGAAGGGAGAGGCAACCATGAACGTTGCATAACGGAAAAAGAAAAGACGACCATGATAGAGAAAACCCACAATGCAATATTGTTGAGCCTTGGTGATAAGGTTCTCTGACAGGTATCAAAGGAGACGACGACATCAGAGTTATGGTTAAAACTTGAAAGCTTGTACATGACCAAATCTTTGGTGAATCGACTCTACCTGAAGCAAGCTTTGCATTTATTCAAGATGAGTGAAGATAAAGTGTTGGCTGAGCAGTTGGATATGTTCAACAAGATGATCCTTGATCTTGAAAATATTGATGTAAAGATTGATGATGAAGATCACACACTATTGTTGTTGTGCGCTTTGCCCAAAACACATATTCACTTCAAAGAAACTCTCATGTATGGAAGGGAGTCCCTGAGCTTTGAAGAAGTTCAATCAGCCTTGTATTCTAAGGACTTGAACGAACGAAAGGAGCATAAACCTTCGACGATTGGTGAAGGTTTGGTCATTAATGAAAAATTCTCGCGAAAGGATGGTAAGTTCGACAAGAAGAAAGGTAAAAGTCAGCAGAGGTCTTATAGTGACGAGACATCTGGTATTCGATCCTATCACTGTAAGAAAGATGGTCACACAAGAAAAGTGTGCCCTGAATGCTTGAAAGATCATGGAGGTAAAGATAATGGTAACACAACCATTATTCAAGATGACTTCGAATCATCTAATGTTCTTGTGGTTTCAAGCGGTGACTCAAGAAAGGAGTGGATTATGAATTCAGATTGCACTTGGAACATGACTCTAAATAGAGAATTGTTCGAGGAACCATCTGATCAATATGGTGGATCAGTGTTGTGGGGAAACAAATAATCTTGCAAAATTGCAGGTATTGGATCTGTGAGATTCAAGCTCCATGATGAGTCAATAAGGTTAATGACTGAAGTCAGGTATGTACCTGATTTGAAGAGAAATTTGATTTCTCTTGGTGAATTTAACGGGAAGGGATATGTTTTTCAAAGAGATAAAAGTACCCTAAGAGTCGTGCAGGGGTCGAAGGAAATCTTGAGAGGCGTGAAGAAACAAGACTTGTATACCCTTGAGGCTGAAGTTGTAAGTGGTTTGAAAAATGTTGCATCCACGAAACCATTGTCGAAACTAGAAATTTGGCACATGAGATTGGACCATGTCAGTGAAAGGGGTATGGTCGAATTAGAGAAAACAAATCTGCTTGGAAGAGACAAAGTCGAAAAGCTGAAATTTTGTGAACCCTGTGTACTTGAAAAATCTTGCAGAGTGAAGTTCAACAAAGGAAAACAAAGAACTATAGATCCCTTGATTACATTCATGCTGATCTTTGGAGGCCTGCAACGTGTTTACCGCATTCAAGAGCAAGGTATTTTCTATTCATGGATGATTATTCGAGGAAGTTATGGGTTTTCATCCAGAAGACTAAGGATGAAACTTTGAGAATTTCAAAGGTTGGAAGACTCTGGTCGAAAATCAGACTTGCATAGAGGCCAAGAGGTTGAGAACCGACAATGGCCTTGAATTTTGTAATGAGGTGTTCGACAATTTTTGTGTTGCCTCAGGTATTGCAAGGCATAAAACTATTACAGGGACTCCACAACAAAATGGTTTGGCATAAAGGTTTAATCGAACTATTTTGAAAAGAGTTAGATGCATGTTGACTAGTGGTAGGTTAAAGAAGGTGTTTTGGACTAAGGCTGTTTTGACAACAACATATATGATGAACATATATTCTTAGACTGTGTTAGATATGAAGACACCTGAAGAAGTTTAGTCGGGACATCCACCTAGTCTCGAAAAATTGAGAGTATTTGGTTGTGTGGCCTATGCTCACATTAGACAAGACAAGGTTGAACCTAGAGCCCTGAAATATGTGTTCATGGGATACCCTGAAGGAGTCAAAGCTTATAGGCTATACTTCCCAGAGCCAGGTCACAGGAGGTGTATCACCAACCAAGATGTATTTTTGAATGAAGCAGAGATGACTTTCAAGAAAACTGATGATGTTGACGAAGAGTTGGAACGTGGAGAGATTCCTGTTAACGTGGAGCATGTTGATGCTGAATTGCGTACCCCAGATGAAGTTGAAGAAGAAGCAAAAGCTGCTTTCGAAGATGAGGAAAATGATAATGACTACCTACAAGTAAGAGATAGGTCGAGAAGATTCATAAAGCCACCTCAGAAACTTGGTTATGCGGATCTTATAGCTTTTACCTTAATCTCTGCAAGTGAGGTACTTGAGGAAGAACCTAGAAATTACAATGAAGCTATGAGGAGTCTAAATCATATTGAATGGCGAAAAGACATGGATGACAAGATGAAATCTCTTCATGATAATAACACTTGGGAACTGATTGAGAAACCTGCAGGAGCAAGGTTAGTCAGTTGTAAATGGATTTTCAAGGTCAAGGAAGGAATCATATGAGTGATGCCGAAGCGCTTTAAGGAAAGATTGGTTGCTAGGGGGTTCACTCAGAAAGAAGGTGTCGACTTGAATGATGTGTTCTCATATATTGTAAAGCATATATCCATTAGAATGTTGTTGTCCATGGTGGCGAAATTCGACTTGGAACTTGAGCAAATGGATGTGAATACAACATTTTTATACGATGATCTAGATGAAATGATCCTGATGCGTCAACCTGAAGAGTATGCATAAAAGGATAAGGAAGATTATGTGTGCAAGCTGAATAGGTCTTTGTATGGCCTGAAACAATCTCCTCGACAGTGGAACATGAGATTTGACAAGTTCATGGCACACATTAGTTTTACTAGGAGCCAGTTTGACCATTGTGCTTACATCAGATTTCAACCTGGAAACTCACTTGTTATTCTGTTGCTTTATGTGGATGATATCCTCATAGGTAGCAACAGTGTCAGGGATGTAATGAAGGTGAAAGGTGAACTCAACAAGGAGTTCGAAATGAAGGATCTGGGAGCTGCCACCTGAATTTTCAGCATTGACATTTAGAGAGATAGAAATCAGTTGAAGTTGTGCTTATCTCAAGAGGCATACCTACAGAAGATTCTCGAAAAGTTTGGTATGTCGAATTCAAAGCCTGTTGTGACTCTGACAACCCCTCAATTCAAGCTGAGTATAGATCAGTGTCCTAGTACTGATGTCAAAAGAGATTATACAAATAGCATTCCATATGCTAATATAATGGGTTCTTTGATGTATGTTATAGTTTGTACTAGACCCGACATAACATATGTAGTAAGTCTTGTAAGCAGGTACATGGCAAATCCTAGAAATGCTCACTGACAAGCATTGAAGTAGATAGTAAGGTACATAAATAGGTCTCTAAAAAGAGTCCTAATTTATGGTGGAGCCTTGGGTGAAGATAGTAAAGCAGCAATCGAAGGATATGTGACTCATATTATGTAGGTTGTATGGATTCTAGAAAATCTGTTTCAGGATATGTGTTCACTATGTTTGGCACATCAATTAGTTGGAAAGCAACACTTCAGAAGGTTGTTGCCATATCAACCACTGAAGAGGAGTATATCACCCTAACTGAAGTTATGAAGGAAGCATTATGGCTTGAAGGCTTTGCAAAGGAGCTAAAACTTCAAGGTCGAAGTATCACTGTTAAATGTGATAGTCAAAGTGCAATACACCTGTCGAAGAATTTATCCTATCATGAGCGAACCAAGCGCATTGATGTGAGACTGCATTTCATCAGAGGGGTAATCGAGCGTGGAGAAGTCCAAGTGCTGAAGGTTTCAGCGGATCATAATGTTGCTGATATGATCACCAAAATGTTGCCCAGTTATAAGTTTTTCCATTGTATGTAGTTCACA